TTTAAAGTGGATGTTGGCCGATAAGAAAAAATACATGTCAAATATTTTCTTGAGAACTTCTCACATAAGTTTCATTATAATCGGCGTATGCTGGTTGAAAAGGTTTTCTTGTCAGTATCCATTTCACACTCTCCCAGAATCTGGTCCGAAAACATGGCCGACGCCGTTGTTGCTCGTAGCATCCGCAGCCGCAGATATTGTTAGCGGTTTAGGCGTCACGGGACGTTTCAGATGTTCATCCCCGTGGAAGGGGAGCGTCGCGCGACAATAGGCGAGACTTCCATCGATCAGAATTGTGCGCGTTTCCCGCTCGCGGACACGTGTTCGAATCGCCGAGCGGGTGACTCGCGAGGAGAATGCGTCCAGAACGCGCCAGCCCGCTTTGTTGAGCAAATAGACTCGTTTGTTGGTCCACTCCCGGTACCTGCGCGCCACGTCAGGCCCCCGGCAAAGGCGGCTGCGCGACAAGAGGATGAAATAATGGGGAACGCTCCGGAAAACCGATTTCCTAGGCCGTGAAAAAGGGAGCCGGGGAACCGGCCGGCCGAGGAACGAAAGACGCGGCTGGAAGTCTCGGCGTCCAGTGTGCCGCGACGCTAACCTGCGGCGCGCTTTTCCAATAATGACGCAATGAGTGCTCGGACTACCCGCGATTCGTCACAGCAGTTCGTATTACAGTTCGCAACGTCCGGCGGGCGTCGTGTTCGTCAGGAAACGTTTAAACATTCCGACTCGTCTGTTCCTCACGTTTTTCTCTCAAAAATTTAGCTTTGACTTTTTGCCCAATCGAGCGATGAGTTTGGATTCTGAGAAAATTTTGTTCTTGAGCTTACATTTTTTTTTAAAACATTTTTCTATTGACTTTTCAGTCGAACAGTGAATGTTTTTTAAGAATATCTGGTAAAAGAATGATGTATAGTTTGATATTTTGTTATATCATATGTAGATATCGTTTCACTTGAATTTTGTTAAATCAAAGTATTCGCGTGTACTTACTTACATGGAGATTATTAAAACACTTCGTGGAAACAGTTAGGTTCCAGTTTCCCGACAGCCAGAAAAAGTCGGTCCATCCCCGGAACTGTGACGAATGCGAATTTCTTCTATGATAATGAAGTAATGAACGTTCTGGGACTACGATTTGATACGCTCGCCCAACCTGCGCCGAACTTCCCGAGTAGCGATGGCTTCGAACGAACAATTAAACAAATAAAATACACAAAATTATCTATTCAGCCAAATAATTCTATATAACAGACAAATTCACTCGAACATTCGTAGAAAATGACAATTAAACAATTACAAAATTATTTTACACAAAATAGATAGTTAAAAAAGAAAATATAAATAAAAACGATATGTTTCTCCCTCGAACTGTTTGGTAAATCATAATCCAGTAAGTCTTCAAGCTATTGGTGGATATTATGAATTTTCGCGGTTTGTTAGAGTTATACATATTCGAGAATCGTTAATTGTTTGTTAGCTTGTGAGATACTTGAATCTATCGTTGGGAAGATCACGGAAAGTACGAGAGCACCGCGAAGGTGGGCGCAAGCAAGGATGCAACTAAATCTATGGTTCGCCACGGGGTGACGACGTCTTCTCGATGGGGGTCCCAGCAGCCCGTATAAAGATGTCCTACCGGCGACCCGAAAAACGTACTTTGCCTCCTCCGATGGCTTCTTTTGGAAATCTACGGCGGCGTCCTTCCCAGCCGTCCCTTTTTCACGACTGTCACGTGCCTCCTTCTGCGGCGCGTTCTTTCGCAGGCACACTCCCTTGCACCGAGGACCCGATCTGGTCATTACGCGTCGTACGCGTTCGATAACCGTTGCAAAATGTGCAATTCCTTGTTTCCACCTTATTTCAGTAAATTGTCTTTGCAAACTCTGAAACGAACAGTTAAGTCTGTTGCTTCTATTCGTTAAAGGACGAGTACATTAGATTAATGAAAAAAGATGTTCTTCTTATAATTTATTAACTTCTAACATATCATTCGAAGTAATAATGAGAATTTAATATTAATGATTTGTAAAAGTGAAGAGAATATATAGCTGTAATGTATTCTTAATTTTCTTTGACTTTTATAATAATCGGGTACATTGAACGCTAGATCATAATAAATATTGAATTCCTTTATGTTTGTTTTACAAATTTGTCCCTGTAGGTAAAGCGTGTTAAATAAAGGGTACAATTAGAATTAGATTTTCATTAGAATTCTTTTTAATGGTTTTTCAGAACAATTTTGATGTTGATGCGATCTCCTTTTTTGGGGAGAAAGAACATCTTGTGTGGTTCTGTTTCTCCTTGGGGCCTTCAAGTTTTCCCATCAACAGATGAAATCTAAAAGACACCGTTTGGAGGAGACACCGGTACCTTTTCGAGAATTAACGAGCTTTGTCCCGAAAGCGTACGTGCTGCCATGTTCGTAAAATAGCATACACATACACATCAAACGCGCCGACCATTATGGTTCAACGCATCTCTGGCCATTTGACTCACAGGTGGCTATTATCTCATCCAGACGATTCAATTGAGCTACGTAAGCGATTGTCTGCGCCACCACATTGACGCTTTAAACGCAATGTTAATTTAAGGTGGTCGCCGCGATGTAACGACAAAACAATAATGATTATTGCAACAAAGATCTCGGCCATTAATGCGCTCTGCGACACGATAATTTAACGCTAACCAGACGCCAGACAGTGTAACCTATAATATAAATAGCTACTTGTTATTTTCGTCTATCATTGAGACGTTTTCTTTTATCTTTTATTAAAATTTGGAATTTGAATTTGAACATATATTTAACTTTAAATATATATTTATATTTAATTATATTATATATTATAGTAATTAACAAGATATTCGTTATATTGGAATATAATTCTAATTTTCGTAATTAGCGGGTGATAGTTTTCTTCTAAATACGTAGTAAGATCGTTTTCTGTAAATAAGTCGAGACAGAGGAATAGTAATTAATAAATATTTGTGTTCCAAAAAGCGTTGAGTCCTACCATCATATAGCAGGCTTTTAATTTAATCCCATACAATAAACGTATCCCGTTCGGCGGTCAGTATAATGAGTTCGGGAAATACCGTCACTGTTTCTATTGTTCGCCAAGACGGTCAGAGCGGAAAACAGATTTCAAGGGTCGATTGTAATGGAATGATAAATAAAAACGGTACCTACAGCAGATCCTACTGGTGGCAGGAGACTCAAATGATAGTTCTGTCGACGGATTAATCCTTTCAGACAACATGAAACAAAGACCGAAGGCACATTTTGCCCGATCTAGCAGGAAGGATTAACCAATTCTGTCCTTTCCTCGTCCACTTCCCATTGCCAACTGTTACTAATCTTCCTTAAATCTGTAATTCACTAGATAGCTGTGGGAAAGCTATTACACCCACTTAGAATGTCCCTTTTAATCTTACCACTTGCTGAAACGCCGTTTGCCAACTTTCCATTGTCAGCTAGCAGAAGGTATTTTCGTGGAAACGATACAAGTGCAACCGTTATAGTGCCCCAATGACACTTCAAGACACTTTCAATGCACTCTACAATAGTTTCCTAATGAATCTGATCCGAAATTTTTATGACCTAAAACAGGTAGAGAAGAAAGGTTCATATACATACTAATGTACCCCCCGTTTCCTGTGATTTCGTGTAATAAATGTACACAATGTACATAATATACCACTTGGATTTTCCAAGGATAAAATCGTGTTTGACTCGATATCGAACGTCACAAAATAAAACATGAAACTCCTTTTCTACTGTACCTTCGTCGTAAGGGTTGTAGGTTGCGTTCGACGAGGAAGTGTCATACTTGCGTAGCCTGTTCTGCATTATGATTACAGTTCGATCGGAGGGAATGTATGATCAAAGGTAAACGTCAACGTCGCTTTAAACCTTGTACTTCGAATTTCTGTAGTTATAACAGGAAAACTGTAAGAATAAAGGAAAAGGTTGCCAGTGACTGCCAGTTTTATATTTCTCTTTCAAATTTCATATGTAACTTAAATTGCATACAATTTTTTCATAAAGTATAGGTAAACTGATAAGATTGTTTGCAGCGGAAGGTGAAAGTAGAAGATAAACGATTTAGTAGAATTTAACTCACATATTTTAAAGAAATATTATAATACTTTGACAACATTTGTACAAAATTTCAAAAATAAACAAATACATTATATAATAAAAAAGTTGGTCATATTTATTCATATTCGGATGTATCAATACTCATTTTTTAGAAAAGATTGATGTGCATGCGTGTCAGCTTCTATAAAAAATCCCCTCATCAACAATATGTCAAAATCATTTCTCCCCTTTAAAATCATTCAACCCTTAACGAAGCGAAAAATCATCGAAATGATTACGGAATTTGTTTATTCACTACATTCGAAGTACAGCAAAAATAGATACCCAATGAAATCCCAGAAAATCTCAAAAAGTGCTCGATCATCTTTCCACGATTCGATCAAGGAGCTCCGAATAACAACGGATGGGAGCACAGTGTTGGCAGCGACAACGTCGGCAGCAGCAGTGGCAGCAACAAAGGGCATTTACCCCCTTTTGCTTCGATGTATTCACATATGAACGAACAAATCGGTTCCCGTAGAGTTCCTCAGGCCGAGAGTCGTAAGAGGGCGTAGAAACGCAGCAATCACGTTTGGATTTGTTTGTATACGCGGGTTCGCAGTTTCCCCGGTTATAGTTGCGGCTGCGCTCCCCACTACTCGTGGAGAGCTCCGATCGGCCACCTTCGAAATCCCTGCCCCCGCCGTAACCACGCGTTGTTTGCACTGTTTGCTGTCAAACATTGGCCGCAAAACATTGTGGTGGGGCGCGCGAACGTAGCCAGTGGAAAGCGAGCGGCGTGGACGCTGATTGGTCGCCGCGCGCCTTGCGCGTGTTCGCCAGCAGTACGGTAGGCGTGGCCAGCGAGACCTTATAAATACGCTGCCTACTGGGGATTATGTCAAAGACGTGCTTCGTTTCGCCAGTAGAACGTCGAGCGTTGTGTAGTGCGAACGCGAAGTAAGAGAACGAAAGTTCACGTTATTTCTTTTCTCTAGTCTCATAGACAAGACTTTGTGATTAAGTGGAGTGCAGGATATAATGGTGAACATGGAAGGCTCAAGAGAGCAACAGACAGTGACCGCATCACCGCCGCCGCGTACCGTTCTCCGGAGCAGTTTCAGCATCCGGAGTATCTTACCGGAAGCGTGCGCCGGTACACCTACACCTGCTGATAGCGGATGCCCATCTCCAGCTGTCAGTGGTTGCGCGTCTCCTGCTGCCAGTCAGATCGATGGCAGCGAGGAGTCATGCGACCTGGACGTAACTGGGGATGGAGGCACTGATACGCCACCATTGGATTGCTCGACGAATGCCGCGGTTACCAGTAATACCGGGGAATCGAAGGATACAAAGGATCGGTCTAGCGACGAGAAGAAAAAGTGCGAGAAGCCACCCTACAGTTACAACGCGTTGATTATGATGGCGATCCGTCAGAGTCCCGAAAAGCGACTCACTCTGAACGGAATCTACGAATATATCATGCGCCATTTTCCGTACTACGAAAATAACAAACAAGGATGGCAGAACTCGATCAGGCACAATCTCTCGTTGAATAAGTGTTTCGTGAAGGTTCCGCGGCACTATGATGATCCAGGAAAAGGCAACTACTGGATGCTGGACCCCAGCTCCGAAGATGTCTTCATCGGTGGTACAACCGGGAAACTCCGAAGGAGGACTACAGCGGCTTCCAGGTCGCGCTTGGCAGCCTTCAAGAGGAGCGTCGTCTTAGGAGGACTGTACCCTGCTGCATATGCTCCACCAGGCTGGCCAGCGTCCTTGTACAGTCTTCCCTATTTGCACCGGGCTGCTGGATACTCATCACCCACCGGTCCGTACTCCACCCCCGCCGGTTACCCGGCTAGTTTGCTACCGGGCGCAGTGACCACTTCCGCCAGCAGCCTCCCGTGCAAGCCACAACCGCTTCCAGCGACCGCCGCACCTCCAGCTCACGGCCCGTTCTCCATGGAAAGGCTGCTGCAACCACCCACCGCCGCCGGATACGCAACCAGCATCGCTGCTTCTGCCATACCAGTCTCAGGGAATCCTTACGACTTCTATTCGACCCTGAGATCGTTGGCAGCGCATCAGCAGCAGCAGCAGCAGCATCAAACGTCTACCGTATTCGGCCACAATCAACAGCCAGGCAGGTACCATGTGAATCAACCCACGGTCCTCGGGCAGTTGACCTCCGCCACCGCATCACCTGGGAGCAGTCCTGAACCGATGTCGCCTCATTCACCGCCGGTCACTATTTGTAATTCTATCGCAGTGCAGCAACCCCGTCCGCTACCTCACAATCCGCCGCAGTTATTGTTGAAGCCCATTACTGTTCTTACCGGTAGGCAGAGCTGAATAACATTACTGCAGTAGGATTAAGTAGGTCGAGGATTGTTTTGCGATATGACTTTCAATCTCGGAACTTTGTAAATATGTATATAATCGGTAGATTTAAGCATAGCATTAGTCCTTTTTTCGTTTCCCGTGATTGTACATGTCCTGTCGGGACAAGTGAAAACCCAGTTGACTTAGGAGTGTTGCGTTCTGTTAGTCATGAAACGTCGCGCGGTTAAGTCACGCGGGAATCCAGTGATCGCGAAATTGTACCGAAGACGTGTTATGCATAGAACCGTGTTCTTTTTCGTCTTTCAATTTTTCTAAATATAGATTTAAGTAGGAAAAAACGCGAGTTGAACGTTTAAAATGTCGGTCGCGATATGAACATTCGGAAACTTAAATACGCGTAGGGAAATAGTGTAATATTATTGTAAATAGATCCGTCTACGTACATTGATCTCTCGTCGTCGATTCGACCACCACGGACATTGACATCGAGCTCCGGTGATTTTGATGTTTTCGAGGCGTGCTGGTTTCGCAATCGAGACTCGTCGGCTTTATTAAATTCTGCGAATAGAAAAATTGTTATTCGTGCAGATATGAATTTCGTATGTGTATATATGTATACAAATGACAACCGCGAATATACGAGACACAAACATGTGTATGATCGTTGAAATAAATGTTCAGACCTTTTATAGAAATCTCTTGTGTGATCTTTGTCGACGTTTACCTGTCAATCCTGTATACACTCCCCGGGTTTTTCATGATTTCACTTATTTAGTATTTAATACTTAGTTATTTACTTACTTTTAAAAGAACATAGTATTGCTGTCGATTTCTTTCACATAGTTTTTGGAAGTTCTCGATTCATTAGTGGAGATCTATCGAAAAATATTTCACTGCGGCGTACAGTGGTCTAAATCAAATTATCTATTCATTTGATATAAAATCAACTTTCTCGTTGCGATATTTTTTTTATATATATTAGCTCCTAGAAACGATGAAAATAATGAACTTTATTAAAAATTGCGATTAGAACATTAGAGCATTTAAAAACCGACATTTTATGAACACCAGATTTCACTGAAACTATTACTTTTCTTCTTACATATACCCTAGAGAATCTGTTCAATATTATAAGTCCATTTTTGTTTTCCATCCTGTGCACCAAGAGTATATACATCGTTTCTTTCAATAACCAGACAAAAAACTATTTGGAATAAAAATTAATCAACATTCAGTTCTCCATAAATTCTAATGTAAAATAATCTTTTAAAATTAAATATATATTTTCGAATTCATTAAATACTGTTACTGATATCAGGAAGGATCCACTAACCTAACACACGAAGTCCTCAAACTTTCAAATAATGTTAAAATATCATTAAACAGCAGATTAACCAATTAGCACACGCATGCTATCTTTAATTTCTAGCGTTATAATTATTGTACAGGAAAGGTGCAAATGATGCATAAAGACGACCTTCTATTAATATCTAAACACTACCTATATTGAAATTTCTACATAATATTCTCTTAGGAGGAATGTAAACACACAAATAGATAGAGACAAAATTATAACACACTCAAAGTTTATTTTGGTTTTTTTCAATATGTCGTGAAGTTTAAGGAAGTTAAAGTATTTCGCAATATCTTAAACCGATCAAAAATAAGAGCCAAGCCACGATTAACAAAGAAGCATAAGAAAGTACGTCTTGAATTTGAAAACGGATATTAATTTTATACAAGGAAAAATGAATAGTGCAAGTTATTTGAGATTAATTAAAACCCAAATTGATAAGTATACCAGTAAGGTAATGCTGCCATACAAACGGCAAAACTTATTTACGAATATTTTTCAAAGGAGAAAATTTCTGTTCCCGAAGCGCCGGCGTGCTCCTCGCACCGAATTTTTTTCGGATGCGCTATCATTTTGTCTGTATTCATTTGGGTATTTGTATTTTTACTAAGAGAGTTCGTTGAAGAAAAGTCAATAAAAGTTATGTTTACATATTTGTAGAAGGTAGTCTTTATGTAACATTTGCACCTTCCCTATATAATTATAACGCGAGAAATTAAGTATAGCACACGTGTGCTATCTTTTTCTTTGGGAGTGTAATACATTTTTTGATACACGTAGCGCAGTCTTGTCTACGGCGATCGTAAAAGTAACAGGCAGAACCCGCCGGCTGTCAAAACACGGCTGGGAATAAAAGTTTCTCTCGCCAGAGTCAACGGATAATGCTCGAACGGAGCAGCGAGGTCGAGCCTTCGAAATAGAAAATTGCTTTACTGCTCCAATATAACCATAAACCAAGTTTCGGCGGCCTTCGACGGTATCCCCGTCCTTTGGTTTCATACGGCCATCTTACTTTGGAGCCATCCGTCGAATAAAACCTGCGATCTCGCTACCTATGCTCACTTTGTCAAAGAACTAGATTTCATTTAACTGCTTCGTCGATCTTCCATATCGTTCGTCTTCTAACTCTATCATACCATATTAAACATTGATCTTTGAATGGAAGAAACAATTTCATCGATGGATAACACAGGACAAAGCTAGTACTCTAAACTGTCTGACTAAACATAGGGTGGATGTTACGAACTTTATTTCCGTCGCTTTCGAACTATTCCCCAAGTTTCGCGTACCGTACTCCCTATACTTACGTTCGTCTGAACCCTTTCATTCCAATGAATTTATATTTTACAACGTAAATATTATTGACGAAAGTTTCATGTGAAATGAAGTGACAATTATTATACAGTATTGGTTAAGAATTTCTGTTTATAGAAGAGTTATCCCTTTATTTTAAATGAATGTACGTGGTCCTGATTCGAGAAGTACACTCGTGTTCGTCTGAACTCTTTCATTTCAATGAATTTGTTATTTACAAAATAGTACCGACGGAAGTTTTATGTAAAATCTTTATGGGAACAATTGAATGGGGGTTGACGCGGAAGAAATTCAATTTCATAGAACGAATGCTGTTTCACCGATAGTTCTAGGCAAGCCACTTTCACGTGGTCCTGATTCGAAAAGTGTGTTGTTGCCCGGGTACGAGCGGCCGCTCCGATATTGGTATGATGCATTGAGACAATGAGGCGTAAATAAGATAATAGCGCGCGCTCGCGTACGTCCAACGGGGGATTTAAGCGTTTGAAGGGCCGAGAAGCACACGGGCGAGAGACAGAGAGAGACGTACCGATTAGGATCGGTAGATGAGATTGTGACCCGCGCAGCCTCTCCACTGACAGACGCGTTTTGCATTCTTATATCTTTAACCAACATCGACGTTGCGCTTCAATCACACGGAATTGCCACTACGCCACTTCCATGCACAATACGGTCAAGCAATTATTTTCTACAATTAAGAATAATAATAATCCCTCTCTGCCGTTCATACTATTAAAGATACAAGGGATTCGATTTAATAACACTGCTATTTAAAATAATATGGTGAATTCTCGGCTATCTGCATTGTAATTATTCTCGTTATACAATGGTCTATCAGAATGAAATATTCTTGTACTTTATGGAGATAGATAATGAGAAGAGATTCAACAGTTTAATGATTTTATTGAAATTTATTGAGGTTTATTAAATGGACCTGTTATCGAATGTTAATATCATTTTCGCAATGTTGTATGCATTATTTATGTGATCCGAGTATATTGTAAATATATTTGATTTAAACGATCTTTAATTATTGCATTCACGCGTATTAATATCGTATACCAATTTGAATTTCAAAAACATGCACACTTTGATTCAATGGGAACGTTTTACTTTTATATCTGCAAACGAGTTCTGAATACTAATTCCATATAGGTGTTATGATTCAATGGCTACTTTTTTAAATGATTGAGCACCTGTTTACAGGCTAACGTTAATGAATTCTTTTAGCAGCAAGTGCAAAATCGTCGAGTATAATAAAGAATGATTTTCCAATAACAAGCATACCATCTTCGAACAAATATATTGTTGTGAATATTGAATAACATTTGCGAAAAACATTACGTAAATTTTTCTTGGCGTAAACATAGTTTTCAACGAAATAATCTTTGCAAAAAAAATGTGTAAAAGAAACTTCCAGTTATAACGAATTAACGATTTATATGGATGTTTCAGTATGCTCATTGCAGGTTAACTTCGACAGTCATTAATAATTCCATACATTTCAAAACTGTATGGATATTATTGAAAACGTTACTATTGCGCGTTATCATTGAACCGATAACAGTTGACAGTGATACATAAAGCAAAACTAAACGAATATTGCATAGCATCACGTAGTCGAAGGGGACGGTAAACACTTGCGTGGTCAATTGCTCCAAGTGGCAAGTGGTGCTATGTGCGTGTAACTTCTCCGTGCGTGATAGATATTCTTCTCTATCCATGTTGAGAAAATTGAATTCATTAGCTCGTTTTTTTTTCTTATTAAATTATTCGCCTATTTAATCTTTGGAATAGATTCTATCTTGGTTACTCAATAAAACTCACTTAAGTATTTCTATACTCGTGTACTGCAGTAACTACTTAAATCTTCCCTTAAAAGCAAACGACAGATTTATACAAATTCTCTGTTTTTTTTAAACGATGCATGAAACGTTAAATGGAATAATTAAGCAAATATGATTGAATTAAATAGACAATATTTTGGAAGAATTAACCGATAAATTAATGTTTCCAGTTCTGTAAACAATTTTTGGTTTCTTTTATTTATTTTCTTCAATATCTCTTAATCTTAGTCTTTTTGAAAAAACGAATAAAATATAAAATTAAGTGACCGGTTAAATATTAAAAATTATTTTTGGTGTGTCTTAGTTTCCCGAACAGATCAAGCTTCGAAAATCACGAAATCAACGGAATCTTTTTCGAGTATCAGGGTACAGGGTCTGCGAAACGTGTAAAGATCGTAAGTGTTCCTAGCATTTTAGTAAGTAGTCGGTAACTCGCTGAATCACTTTGCGCTATTACATTATTGTCGATGTCGTCAGCGTTATTCGCAGAGTCGCTGACTAGGGTTGCCGTGATGTCTTTCAGAGCCCTTGTAATACCATTTCACTAATGCCGCATGATTACCGAGTTATCTATAACGGTTACGCTTTAAAATCGTGCCATTCTTGTATCACGAACGCCAGAAAACACACCGCCATTAGCAACCATTATCCCCTCGGCAAACAGTAAAATCATCAAAATCATCTTTGAACAATGTCACTTAATCTTCGCAATCATCAGTCGTCTCAAAGACCTCAATGCATCTCCCCTGACATACTAACGAATCAAGACTAGAAAGAATTTAACATTACTACACGCTGTAACACATATAATGTTCATGTCTATTTTAAAACAATAGAACCGCAATATCAGTAATATGTCCCCAACAAATATGAATTTTTCACAAAAACAACGAACGTCAACGTTCCAGTAGCTCCCAAAAATATTGAAACTGCCCCACTTTGAGAGACACTGTCTCGGAAAAAGCGTTCGGTTCGCTCAACCGGTTTCAAAATCTGTCCGCAATTGTTTTGACACACCGCCATCTTGCTTTTAGCCGGAAGTCACGGGCGGGCGTAACCTTCTCATGGTCAGAATTCGCGAACAGAATGGGCGCATCGCACATGTACCATTTAGGCAGCCGTGTCAATAGCTTTCAATGGCAGCGCGTTATAGTGTTTTCCTCCATAGTTGCGTACACGCGTGCACGCACACACGTTGCAGCCATCGGTGCATGCAGTTTCGTCTTCCCCCTCTTTCATTTCTTCCCCTGCTCAGACATGGACGTTTACGGAGAGAAAGGAATAGTCTGGTTTCGCTGCCGAGCAAGAGGGTTTCCTCTTACCACCGGGGGTAGCTATCC